CTGCTCCTCGCGCTGAATGACACCGATTACGAGGTATCGGTTCAAGACCGCTTGGAGCTGGCCAAACGCCGGTCAGGACCTCAGTCTGGACTCGCCGCTCTCACCAGAGATCTGTTCTCCGGCATGGTGGCCACCATCGACAAGCTTAAGCAAGACCACGCCGACCACGTCAAGCGCCTGGCCAAGAAGCTCACCGAACGCGTTCCACTATTCGCAAAGTGCCCACTCGCAAACGTCAGAAAGAGACCTGTCTTCCTCGATGTAATTTATCGTAGGTCCCGCACGGTGGACCAAGGCCATTTGCGAGTAGTCACTTTGCGAGTAGTGGAACGCGCTCGTCTAGAAGCGAAAGGTCGCCAAGGACCCCCCCCCCGCAGATTCTGATGCCGTACCTGCCGCTGGAGCTGGCGCCGCTGGCGGAGCAGGAGGTGGACCTCCAGGAGCTGACGTTGCACAGGCTGCCGCGCCTCCTGAGCCCGCCGCTGCCGCCGTGGACGTGCGTGAGCGTGCCAATACTGTTCTCTCTGCCCCCCCCTGCTGGACAGGCAGAGGAAGCTCAGACATGAGTCCCCCTCGCTCCCTTTCTCGCCTTAGCGCCCTACACACTCGTTTCAATTGTGCAAGAGCTCCACGGATTGAGGGCGGGTGGTTTTCAAATGTGGTTCTCGCGTTGACACCGCCGCACATTCGTGTTGCAGACTTTGCAAAGGCTTCGCGGGTTGAGGGCGGGTCGTTTGCAATGTGTGGTTATCGCTTCAGCGCCGCGCCCTTTTTTTAAACATATGCCAGAGTTTCACGGATTGAGACCCCGCACGCCCATGCAGAAACAAGCAGGCGGGCTGCCTTGATCAAGGATGTGCAGCAGCCTGCGATGGCGCCCTGGGAGCCTCTCGGAGGCATCTTGGGGCCATCGTGGGGCCCTCTTGGGGGGCCTTGTGAGGGAACTTTGGGATCCTCTTGAAGTCGATTAATGATGAGGAAGCATGCTGCCAAATAGTTTCCAGCTGTCTAAAGGATGTTTCAGACATGTTTGAAATATGTAAACACCTATTCGAAACATGTTTAGAACATGATCTACGCATTTTAACCACATCTGTAATTCAATGATAGGACTGTTAGAGTGTCCATTGTCATGGCATCCACAATCTTAGGCTCTCTTGGGGCCCTCTTGGGGCCCTGAGGGGCCTTTCGGGGCCATCTTGGGGGTCATCGATCAAAGAAGGGGGGGCTCTGATTTACGACCCACCCCTCGGAGGCCAAGCGCTTGCATTTTGGGGTCTCCTTGGGGCGCTGTTGTGCGCTCCTGGGGCCGCCTTGAGGCCCTCTTGGGCTCATCTTAAGGCTCTCTTGGGTCAGATTGGAGCCATCTTGAGGCCCCAATCGCCCATCGAAGGCGAAATGGTGATCATACAGACTACATGACTTACCCAAGAGGTTGTGGACATAGTGTGGCTTCTCAGGGGAGCCGTGGGAGGCTCCGCGGCCATTTTGAGCAGTCGTGGGATGTATTGGGGCGGTCATGGCGTCTCTGGGAGACATGTTGGAAGCTATACACCGCACTCACATCTATACCCCTGGGTGGGTGTATGTGCGGCCGTTTTTGCGCTGTCATGTGCGCGCATGTGCGCGGCATGTGCCAGTCATGTGCCAGGCCTGTGCGGTCCTTCTTGGATGGACTTCCTACTGTGCACGTCGTGCCCGGGCATGTGCGGGGGCATGTGCGCTGTGTTTTGATGTATCCATCATACGCACATGCACGCACAGTCCGACGCACATGCGCGCACATGCCTGCACATGCGGGAGGTGTTCGAGAATCGCAGATCTGTCATCGGCACATGCACGCACATGCCTGTGCAACCTCTCTTCGGGAGGCCGCGCGGGCCCGCGCATGCACGCACATGCGGTGAAGCGCGCGGGCGCACATGCGTGCACATCCCAATGCACATGCACGCTCATGCCCTAGGAGCTGTCTGGGACCCCTGTGCCTCCAATGCCTCCTGGCCTTCGCAGAGCTAACCTGGGGCGTGCCAGGGTTTCCTGAAAGAGTTTGTTGTGCGTTTAGACTCGCCCGCTGCTGGCGGGGGCGGTTATTCGCCCGGTTCGTGAGCTGGCGGTGGCGCGCCCGCCTAATAAAATACTCTCCCGCGCGCCTTCTCAGCTCGGCCGGAGAAGCAGGGATGGGGGGGGGGGAGGTGGAGGGGGGGGGAGGAGGGGGGGGCGGAGGAGGCGGGCGCCCCCGGCCACTGGCCAGCCTGCCTGTTCGGCTCGGCCAGAGGAGAGGAGGAGGAGGAGGAGGAGGAGGAGGAGGAGGAGGTGAGAGTTGCGAGGCTGTCTCAGGCGAAAGTGGCTTGACGGCCCGAGCTCAGGGAATCTCGGAATCGCTGGCCTGGCTCGGCCACCGGCGAGCTCGGCCTGTGCGAATACTGTGCGTACCTGTGCAGTGCATGTGCGGGACGTGCAAGAATGCCGGGGCCGGCGTTCGTCTCCGGACGCCGGCGCGTTCGCGTCCGGCCAGTTCCGCGTGAGACGTCGTCGGCAATTTGGAGGCCGACGTGCTTTGACATGAAGTGATCTGGCCACCTTCGCCTGAGACATCCTCGCAACTCTGGTCTCGGAGATGCCCTGCCCCATGGTGGCCCGGCCACTTTCGCTTGAGACATCCTCGGGACTCTGGGTTTCGAGACGCCCTGAGCTGAGGTGGTTAGACCACTTTCGCATGAGACATCCTCGCAACTCTGACCTCAGAGATCTCCTGCCCCATGGTGGTCAGACCACGGTCGCCTGAGACATCCTCGCAAGTCTCGATTCCGATATGCCCCGAGCTGAGGTGGTCAGCCACTGTCGCCTGAGACATCCTCGCAACCCCGATCTCAATGATGCCCTGCTCGATAGTGTCTCGGCCCCTTTCGCCTGAGACATCCTCGGAACTCTGGGTTCCGAGACGCCCTGAGTTGAGGTGGTTAGACCACTTTCGCTTTAGACATCCTCGCCCGAGATGCCCTGAGTTGAGCTGTTCAGGCCACTTTTGCCTGAGACATCCTCGCAACTCTGACCTCAATGATGCCCTGCTCCATAGTGTCTCGGCCTTTTTCGCCTGAGACCCTCGCAACTCTGGGTTCTGAGATGCCCTGAGCAGGTGGTCAGGCCAGTCCTGCCTGAGACATCCTCGCAACTCTGGGCTCCGAGATGCCCTGGGCTGAGGTGGTCAGACCACTCTCCCCAGAGACATCCTCGCAACTCTGACCTCAGAGATCTCTTGCCCCATGGTGGTCAGGCCACTTTCGCTTGAGACATCCTCACAACTCAGACCTCGGAGGTGTCCTGCCCCATGGTCGTCTGGTCACCTTGACCAGCGACATCCTCGCCACTCTGGTTTCCAAGATGCCCTGCCCCATGGTGATCCGGCCACGCTTGCCTGAGACATCCTCGGAACTCTGGGTTGCGAAATGCCCCGAGCTCAGGTGGTCAGGCCACTATCGCCTGCGACATCTCTGCGGCATGTGCGGGCATGTGCGTCTATGCTTTCAGAGTTTTGCTTGACCGTGCATTCGACTGTGCGTCGGACGGTGTGGCATGTGCGCGCATGTGCGGCAATGCTGTTGAGGCTTTTGTATATTTGCATGGGCATGTGCATGCGACTGTGCGGCATGTGCCTGCATGTGCGGCCCCTTCCGGACCACAATTTCAAAGTGAGCACTATAGAAGTGAGCGCTATAGAAGTGAGTCCGGTGTAGTTAGCCATATTGCGCTATACTGTGCGATCTTGGAGGCCATCTTGGGCTGTATGGGTGCCCTTTTGGTACCGTCTTGGGCCCGACTGGACGCTCCACCCCCCCGCGAAACGTCCCTTCCAGACCCAGGGAGAGTGGTGCAGGGGAGCGTTGGCCTCTCCCCCAAGGGAGAGAGGAGCTGGAAGAACGACCCCCCGAAACCAAAAGGCTGGTGGGACTGACCAGACGAACCTGCGAGGCGCGATGGCGAGAGCCACAATTTCAGAACGGATCCCCTCCATCTCTGAAGATGTTGGTAATTTTGAGACGGATGTGTGCAGCTCTAAGGTGGCAGCCACATGTTGAAAATGACCCCCCATCCATTTTTGAGTGTGCTGCAAACGTTTAAGAAGATTATGCGCGGCGCACCCTCCATGTTTGAAATACTTGTAAACGTTTAAAACGAATGCGCGCGGCGCCAAGGCGAGAGCCACAGTTTGAAAACGGCCCGTTCTTCACCCCTGAAGCTGTTGCAGAGTCCAAGCTCGTTGGACAGAAATTATAAGGACGGTTCTGGCGAAACGCCCAGCCCGCCCGGCCAACACGTGTCGGGGTGCGACAAGGAGGAGTTATGTCATAGGAATGGGGTGGAGGCAAGGGACATGGAGGCGACAGAAAGGGACACGAGAGGGAGGAGGAGGAGGCGGCAGGGTTGAACGGAGGAGGAGGAGGAGGAGGCGGAGGAGGAGCTGGAGGAGTTCGAGGAGAAGGTGGAGGAGGATGAGGAGGAGGATCAGGAGGAGGAGGAGGAGGAGGAGGAAAAGGAGGAGGATCAGGAGGAGGAGGCGGAGGAGGAGCAGCAACAGCAGCAGCGGGAGGACGAAAAGGATGAGCAGGAGGAGGAGGAGGAGGAGGAGAAGGAGGAGGAAAAGGAGGAGGAAAAGGAGGAGGAGGAGGCGGAGGAGGATGAGAAGGAGGAGGGAAGGAGGAGGGAGGGACAGAGGAAGGGAGGGAGGGATGGAGGGAGGGAAGGAGGAGGATGAGAAGATGGAGGAGAGGAGGAGGAGGAGGAGGAGGAGGAGGAGGAGGAGGAGGAGGAGGAGGAGGGGGAGGGAGGAGGAGGGGAGAGAAGGGGGGGCTGGGAGGAGGAGGGGCAAACGAGAAAGGCGAAGGGGCCGCTGCCCTCTTCATCCCCGCGCTTCCTCCCCCCTCCTTTGTTCCCCGCCTCCCCCTCGACATCCGCGGCTCCCTCGACATTGTACTCCTCCTCCTCCCCCCGAGCGGCGCGAGGCGCTGGGCGCTGAGCAGCTCGCCGCTGGCAGGCGCACCCCGCCCCGACGGCGTCGCCACACTCGTCGGTGCGGCCGTGGGGGGACGTGCGATGAGAGAAGGAGCAAACTGGGTGCGCGAGGAGGGAGGAGGGAGGGGGGAGGAGGGAGGGGGGAGGAGGGAGTCCGTAGCCACTTGGCTCAAGCCGTTTTGGCGCCAGCCATTTGGGCTCAGGCCGCTTCACCCCCAACATCTTGGCTCAATGTGCTTTGCTCACGGTTCGAGACCGAGTTCGCCGCCTTGCTGGCACGCCACCCCTTGGTCATGGACTCTTTGAGCTTGGGCGACGTCGAGCTCGTCGACCGCACGCTGGCTTTGGCACCCGCTCTGGGAGCTCTCCTACAGGGCGCCACGCCTTCGCAGGAGGACATCCGTCGTTCGTAGTGCGGCACGCCAGTCGGTCGCGCAGAGATGCTCGCTGGTCTCCGCATCGGTGCCCGAGTTGAAGCAGCTCCAGAAGTCCAGGCGGCTCGAGGCCAGGCAGGAGGATACGGCTCGCTTGGTCTCCTCCTCCGGTTTTGACGAGCAGGCCGTTGGACGCTCTGGTGGGCTTCGCGCGGAGGCCCCCGCCTTCGTGCCCGGCGTGGGCGGGCAGCCTTTCGTGTACTTTCACACGGGTGAGGCGAACGAGCATGTCTTCATCTTCGGTTCGGGGTTTGGGGAGCCGCTGGTGGGGGCGACTTCCACGGGGTCCGCCTGAGTGGTGCGGCGCGCTCGACGTGGAGTTCGATGCACATGCGGTGCCATCGTCAATTCTTCGGCAGCGCTCGTGAAACATGAGGAGTTCCATGCCACGACCCCCGCCCCGCCCGAGGTGCCCGATCAGTTCGAGGAGCAACGGGAACTCCAGGTGCCATCGGCTACAATTCTGTAGTCTCCCATCGCCGCCTGGAGAGGGTATTCCTGCAGGGGGCCTCCCCCTGCGGCGCGGGAGGACCCCGCTCCACCCTCGGAGGCGCGCGAGGGGCCGCTGGCCGACGATGCTGTTGCTGGAGCCCTTCCTGACGATCAAGTTCAAGAGGTTGAAGCCTTCCTGGGGCTACCTGGATGTCGCGAGTGTTGCCGCCAGACCCTGGCGAGGGTCTCCTCTTCGCTTGACGTTCTATGTTGGTCTGTTCTGGTTGGATCGTTGTCTGTCTAGAGTACTCGCTTTCCTTAACTGTGGATTCGTGCGCCCGCGGTGGCATTTTGTTCTCAGCACCGGGGTTTCCTGGTACAGCGCGCGCGCGTATTGATTGTGGCTGCCGCCGAGATCGCGCAGTCGCTCGGCTTCGCGGGCTCGGTTGTCGCAATTCGGCTTGAACGCCAGCGAGTTGCACCAGTGCGTGAAGGAGGTCCAATGCTGCTCCAGCTGCGCCTCCGGGCTGGCGTTCGCAAAACTGTCACAGTGGCCGTGCAGCTGCTGCCGAAACAAATAAGGAGGGAGGAGGAGGAGGAGGAGGAGGAG